GAAAATTTGGAACGAATTTGGAAATTTTCAAAAAATTAAATCTTTAAAACATTCTGTTAAAATTTAAAAAATACCAAATATAGCCGTTATATTGGGGTCTATATGACGTCAAGAAAGACAAGAAAGAAAGGTGATATAGACTCTATGAACCACTATAGAACAGAGAGGAATAGTCTTCGTGTGGCTATAAAAAAAGCAAAGAAGAGAGCATGGGAATCGCTTATAAATGAAGTCCAAAACGACCCCTGGGGTCTCCCCTACAAGATCGTTACAAAGAAGTTCGGCAATAGGAATGTAATTCCAGGAATAAAAAATGAAGAATGGGCACTAACCATTGTTAAAACACTATTTCCAAAGAGCAAGGCTGTCCGAAATACCTTTTTAGATACAGCACATTCGGGAAATTTTGAGAATTTCACAGTGGAAGAAATCAAAAAAGTGAGTGGCAAGCTAAAGAAGCACAAGGCGCCTGGTCCTGACGGAATACCCAACGAAGTCATTTCTATAGTAGGAAAACTATGGCCAGAATTACTCGCGTTGGTTCTAAACCAGTACCTACAAGCAGGTGTTTTCCCTTCTATATGGAAAGTACAGCAGTTAGTTCTACTAAGAAAAAACAACAAGCCATTAACCAGCCCCTCGTCTTACAGACCAATTTGCTTGCTGGACACATGTGGGAAATTACTAGAAAAACTATTACTAAATAGATTGGAACATGAAATTCAGGTAAATGGAGGCCTATCTCAGATGCAGTTTGGTTTCATTAAAGGTAAATCGACAATTGATGCCATACGCGAGGTAGTGAATACAGCAAAGCGCTCTATGGAAAGAAGGCATTTTTGTGCTATAATTACATTAGATATAAAAAATGATTTTAATTCTGCTGATTGGAACGAAATAAGAAGTGTCATAAGGCGACGTAATATTTCAGGTTATCTGGTAAAGATGATTGATAGCTACCTCGAAAACCGTACACTGATCTATGACACTGACACTGGTGCCAAAAAATATGCCATAACATCAGGCGTCCCACAAGGTTCAATATTGGGCCCTTTTCTATGGAACCTGATGTATGACGACTTACTAAAATTGAGTTTACCGCAGGGCATAAAACTGGTTGGATATGCTGATGACGTCGCACTCGTCGTTGACCAACCCATAGCTCCACTAGTTGAAATTTCTGCGAATGATAGTCTGGCAAGGATCTCAAGATGGCTGACATCAAGACAATTGGAGCTTGCTGCTGCTAAGACGGAGGCAATTCTTGTAACCCGAAGGCGCAATTTTATTAGCCCAAAATTAATGGTGAATGGTCATGAAATAATAATAAATAATAGCTTGAAATATCTAGGATTGATCCTTGATAATAGATTATCTTTCGAGCCGCATGTCAAAGCCGTAACAGACAAAGCTCTTGGAACTGCAAACATACTGTGCAGAATGATGCCTAATTTAAAAGGCCCAAACCAATCCATCAGAAGATTAATTGCCTCAGTAGCATATGCCCAAACAATGTACGCGGCTCCTATTATAAGTAATGCTATAGGGAAGAGCAAAACAACTTTGCAGACTTCTAGAGAGAGTACACCGAGTATGCACACTAAGAGTTATATCTGCATACAGAACGACATCAACAGAGGCACTATCCGTACTTTCAGGAATGCCACCTATCACTCTAAGCTTAGAAGAGAGAAAATACGCTTACGAGCAGCGAAGATCTCTGTCAAATGGCTACTCGAGAAATGAGCTGAGCGAAATCAAGAAACGAGGGAGGAACTTATTGCTAGAGCAATGGCAGATTTCGTGGAGTAATTCTATAAAGGGCAGATGGACTCATAGACTCATACCATATATAAAGCCTTGGTTAAACCGAAAACATGGCGATCTAGATTTCTATCTTAGCCAAGTGTTTAGTAACCATGGTAACTTCGGGAGCTACTTGCATAGATTCCACATAAAAGGAGATGCAATTTGTGAAATGTGTCGTGAATCTATAGACGATGTGGAGCACACACTCTTTAAATGCAGAAGGTGGGAAAACTTACGAGAGATTAACGGAATTAATTGTCGGATGTCAGTTGATGATCTTTTTAAGGAAATGACGTATAGTAAAAGTACATGGATGAAATATTGCGCATTTATCCACTCAATTCTGGAGGATAAAACCAAATGTCTACAATCAAGATAGCCGAACCCCTAACCAAGTGTTGAATAGGGGATTAGGTCATGAAGAGAAAGATGCAAAAAGGCAGTAAAAGAACTACACCTCGAAGTAATGCGAAAGCGGTCCCGGGGTAGTAGTTCCAGTGTAGGACCACTACTGATAGCGCGCTATCACTACGTCCATAAAAAAAAAAAAAAAAGGTATTGTTCGTCATAAGCCTATACGGGCCTATACGAAGACCTGGACCTGTATAGACAATTTTCTATCACAGACTGTAGTTCCCATAACGAACTCTAAATACGTAATTTGAAACAATTCTGGTGAATATTAAGGCTAAAGTTATGAAAATACCGAATATTGGGAGGTACCGTTATATGGTGGCTATACGAAGACGTAGACCTGCACAAACAATTTTCTGTCTTAGATTGAAGTATCCATTTCGAATTTCAAATACCAAATTTGAAACAATTCCGGTGAATAATATCGCTAAAATCATCAAAATACCGAATATACGGTACCTCCCTATATGGGGGCTATATATATATATATGCACAGACAATTTTCTGTCTTAGGGTGAAGTATCCATTTCGAACTTAAAATACCGAATTTGAAACAATTCCGGTGAATAATGTCGCTAAAACCATCAAAATACCTAATATCGGGAGGTACCGTTATATGGGGGGCTATACGAAGACGTGGACTTGCACAGAAAATTTTCTGTCTTATGGTGTAGTATCCATTTCGAGCTTCAAATACCAAATTTGAAACAATTCTGGTGTATAATGTTGCTAAAATCATCAAAATACCGAATATCGGGAGGTACCGTTATATGGGGGCTATATGAAAACGTGGACCTACATGGCCCATTCACGAACTTAACCTGCCTACTGAAAAAATAAACATGTGTGCAAAATTTTAGCTATCAATCTCATTTCATTCGAAAGATAGCGTGATTACAACAGACAGATGGACGGACAGACAGAAAGACAGACAGTCGGACATACAGACAGACAGACAGGCGGACATCGCTAAATCGACTTAGAATTTTGCACTGATCAATAATATATATACGTTGAGTATTTCGAGGAGTTAATATACCCTCCATAGTATGATAGAGGGTATAAAAACTCAGGATAATAGCAAGTGATAATAATGAAGAAAACTAAATTGACCAAATTTGAAACAATACTTTATATTTACAACCACAAAACTAAGCACAACACAACAGGAAATACACTAGCAGATATTTTTATGTATGCAGGAACACCTGAGTATAACACACAGGGAAATAAGATTAATAAAATTAATAAGTTAAATAAAAAACGAAGTGAATTCAAAATAGGTACTAATTAAATGAAAGCGCCGTTAGTAAAATCTAAAATTACTATTTAATCTAATAGAGGGAGAAAAATTGTTCACTACAAAGCAAAGTTTATAAAAAAGAAGAATAATATAAGCAAATACAATAATTCCAGCTCTGACCAGCAACCAAATGAGGAAAATCATGATTAACCCTTTAATGTGGCGTTTCCACTGCACTTGATTCGCTCTCTATTCGTTGTTTGGCCCTTAACTATGAAAAAACTATCTAATTCTTAACTACTTTTCTGTCTACGAAGTTTGAACTTTTCATATGATAATCTTCCACCATACACTGATAGACTCTCACTGATCAAGCTGCCAACTCTGGAAAGCCGTAGAAAAATGCTAAATGTCTCATTTCTTTATAATGTGATTATGGGTGATATTTCTGCTGGTTTTCTTGTTAACAACATAAATTTCAATGTTCCTCAACGTACTACCCGCCACTATGCACCACTAGCAATTCAATTCTCCAGGATGAGCTATGCAAATGCTGATCCTTTTAACAAGAATTTTAAAAGATTTTAACGCGTTTTATAATTTTATCGATTTTACAATGGATATTAATACTATAAAAAGTAAAATAATAATGTTTTTAAATTCTTAATTTTAATTATACAATTATTAGTTATGTACATATATAGTCTGTAAGGAATTATCCATAGACTAATAGATTAAATAAATAAATAAAAAAAATAAATAAAAGCAACGTTTGTTTATTAGTGGAGAACGATGGTAATGTTTGCCAGGGGGTAAGGCGTGAATACCTAGGTTTCGGAAGGAGCCTTATCAGTTTCCCTGTTTTTTGTCTGGGATATTCTCCCCAGAAGATATTTTAAAAATATCTTCATTGACAAAAAAAAAAAAATTTACTCAAGTGACGATATCGTAAGCTCAATAGAAGTGGAAACAAAGAATTACATAGAATTATAATTCTTTTGGAAAATCTTACAACCGCACTTATAAACATTTTCATCTTTCTTCTCTTGTTATGCCTTAGTTTCACATGGACGAAGTAGCATAACCATGCAAGTTGGTTTTGTCTGTTACAACAGACCGTGCCTTGTATATTAATAGAAAAAGCCAACACTGGTCTGAAAACTTTATTGTTAAATTCACGAAACAGATTAATGACAATAAAAATAATGTTAATACAGCTACTAATAATATAGAAGATATAATTTCATCAAATCCTATATGATATCATAAATTACCCGCCTCTTAAGGTCGAATTTTAAAAAACTAAATTCCAAAGTATCAAATTCATAAAATTTGCCGTTGTTATTGTTGACAGCGTAAAAAAGGCAGACGGCACAATAAAAAGAGAGACATTAAATATATGTTTAGATTTTAAGTAAATTCAGTCTTTATTTAACAGCCAAGAAAGACAAACTCATAGGCGTATTTACTCAAACGTGAATAAATAGTTGTAAAGAAATTGAATCATTTTTATTTTATTTTTAAAAAAGCCGATTTTTGTCTGGCAACATTTAAATATAAGTTAACACAGTCTCCTATCAATAATTTGTCGTCAAATAAAACACACGTTGGTGGCATGATGTTGATGCTATGTCATCACTTATTGCAGGCATCATACGATAAAATATTTGCAAGTCGATACTCCAACATGCGACTCCAGCAAGTAGCCTACAGCAAGCTGCCAAGAAACACAAAAGCGCACAGCCAACAGTTTGGATATTCAGAATTAAGTTAAAATTATTTGCTAGAGTTTCGTTTTGATTTTGACATTAATAAAGTATAATAAATATTTCTCGCCCACAAAGTATACAAACAATAAGTGTCACCAGGCTTCGAAATAGTCTGGGCTGCGAAGAAAGAATAGTGCAAAAAAGACACCAGGCTTCGATATAATCTGGGCTGCGAAGAATTAAAAGAAATAACAGCAACATTAACAACAGTAGCATCAACAATAGCAGCAGCGACAACAGCGGTATCAACAAAAGCAGCAGTAACAACAGCAGCAGCCACATTACCAAAAGCAAATGGCCATACCTGTAATAATAATAATAACAGCGTAAGATTTGTAGGATTATTTTTACTAAAAATATTTTAAGTTAGTGGCAAAATAAGTTTATTCGTTCTGTTTGGCTAAATTATAAAATTAATTGAGTGCAAAAAGCTACAAAATCAATCACTAATGTAATTATAATCTGATTCTGTTCGGGATTTCGAGATTTAGACCGGGAAGTTGAACTCTTAACAAATTTATTTAGCCAATTTCCTGTGGACAGAAAGACTAACAATAATAACATAATGGTTACAACAGCAGAAAGCATTCGCGATAATGTTAACGATAAATTCGATAAATTTTCAATATCGACCCCTGAAGTTGTGCCTTACAAAGAAATTGAAATAAATCCACAATGTCGTCATCTTTTAATACCGTTTTAAATTTTAAAGCCATAATTGCCCGCCTTGATTTCACGTACTCGGATAAACGTCCGATTTACTTAATTGATTAATCTCGCGAAGATAGGGACAAGAATAAAAACGAACCACATTCAGCACAAAGAGGTGGCTAGATTAAAAATTCCCATTTTATGAAGCGAATTAAAAATCGTACAAATAGGAATGAAAATTATTCGGCAGAACCTATGGAGGTCGGCGAATCCGCTTAATTCAGACAATCATCAAAATTCAAGCAGTCTATGCAGGGCTTACCTCAAAATCAGAACCTGTCACAACCATTTCAAAATCGATCAAAAATGACAGACGGGAAAAGGACTTTATAGTGGTACTGGCTATAATAAAAATCCACATTTTATGAAGCGAATTCAAAATCGTACAAATAGGAATGAAAATTATTCGGTAGAACCTATGGAGGTCGACGAATCCGTTCAATTCAGACAATCATCAAAATTTAAGCCGTCTATGCAGGACTTACCTCAAAATGTAAATGTGCGTAAATGTTAATTTTACGCAAGTGGAGGACATAAAGGTGCCCCCATCTATCACAGGAAAATTTAGGGAAATTATATGAAAATTTTTGGGCGTTTTTACAAATCCCAAAGAATCACTCCCATGCAATACGCACCAATAGTATTGTTCCTATCTACTCAAGACTATACCAATATCCCATGGGTATAGCTGACTGGCATAATATAGCCTTCTGTTCATCCTATAACAACCTCGTTTGGATTGTTGATAAAAAGGGAAAATATAAATACGGCAACACTAAAAAACGATTAGTGATAGATTTCAGGAAATTAAAAGGGATCACTGTCGATGACAAATACCCAATACCTGGTTATTTCAGGTATTGGGTATTTGTCATCGACAGTGACCCCGTTTAATTTCCTGAAATCTATCACTAATCGTTTTTATTCTCTCAAATCTTGGCAAAGCGAGATTTTTTACGACGCTTGATCTCAAGTCAGGCTTTCACAAAATAACACTATCTGAACAAGATCGGGAAAAAGCGGCATTTTCGATCGGAAATGGGAAATACGAATATTGTAGAATTCCTTTAGGCCTTAAGAATGCCCCCAGTATTTTCCAAAGGGCCATTGATGATGTCCTGAGGTAGCAAATTGAGAGATCACGTTATGTTTATGTTGACGATGTCATCATTTTCTCTGAAACAGAGGAAGATCACGTCAAGCATATTGAATTATATGCAGCCAATATGAGAATTTCCGGGAGAAATCACATTTCTTTATAGTTTCTAGAAATGACATAAAAATGTATCTTTAATGTAAGGCCATTTCTGGGATTGGCAAGCTACTGCAGATGCTTTATTAAAGATTTTGCGTCTATTGTCAAACCACTAACCGATATTCTTAAAGGCGAAAACGGCAAAATTAGTGGTTCCCAATCGAAAAGGACAAAAATAAATTTTAATGAGAAGCAACTAAAGACGTTCGAAAAACTTAAGGTAATACTTGCGTCTAAAAATGTGATTTTAAAATACCCAAATTACAAAAAACCGTTTGATTTTACAACGGACGCCTCGTCTGCTGGTTAAGGTGCGATCTTGTCCCAAGACGGAAAACCAATAACCACGATTTCAAGAGCTTTAAAAGATAGAGAATTAAATTTCGCTGCGAATGAAAGGGAACTACTGGTCATAGTATGGGCCTTAAAGAAACTTAGGAAGTAATTATACGGATAAATAGGACTGAAATTTATTCGGTAGGACCTATGGAGGTCGACGAATCCGTTCAATTCAGACAATCATCAAAATGTAAGCCGTCTATGCAGGACTTACCTCAAAATCAGAACCTGTCACAACCATTTCAAAATCGATCAAATCGGCAGACGGGAAAAAGACTTAATAGCGGTACTGTCAAATATACTGGGCCAAAACACCAAAGAATAAATCATCTTTCCCAAGCTGAGTCCGAACGATTTCAAAAACCACCAAGTTGCGGGGACCGAAGCAGACGATGTTGAAATTGATGCTCAGGACGAATTCGACCAGATTAATTTTTGTTAGGAGGAGTTCCCTGCTTTCGTTTGTAGAAAGAGAAGTGGCAGGGAAAATCATTAAACTAGATACGGGTGCTTCGAAGAATTATATTAAAAATATAAAAGGTTTAAAAGGCATAGTTCCAGTAAGCAACCCATTTATGGTGAAGTCAATTCACGGCTTCAAAGCAATTAAAGGAAAGTGCACGGTGAATATTTTCAACACCAATAGTCCTTTTTTATCTTACCTTCACTCTCAACGTTTGACGGTATCATTGGCCTTGATCTGTTAACACAGACAAGTGCAACATTAAATTTCGAGAGTAGGGAATTGAAAACTATAGCTGGCATCGGCAAGATCCAATTTTTAAAATGCGTAAATGTAAATTTTACGCAAGTGGAGGACAAAATGTGCCCCCATCTATCGCAGGAAATTTAGGGAAATGATAAGAAAATTATTGGGCGTTTTTACAAATCCCAAAGAATCACTCCCATACTGAGAAAAAATACAATTTGACTCTCTCTCGGGAGAAAATATTGTAAAAATAAAGGACATTTTTTGTGTATACTTCACAGGGTAGAAGAAATATTAAATAATTTATGCAAAAATAAATTGATGTTTCCATGTGTTTCCTATACGACGATGTTCAAAGTTTCAACAAACTTTTTCAACACACTTAGTTAATTTTAAAACTTTTTCTTTAACATTTAGAATTCCATGAAAGCTGTGTAGATACGGCTAGATAAATTGTCATGATATCTCGCCTTATTCATTTGCAGGAAAATAATGAATCTTTTTTACATATTGAGAAGCAAATGCAAATCGACAACAAGTAAAAACCATTATGTTTGTCCAGGTCAAATATGACATACCCTCTACAATAAGGCAAATAAAACATTTTAATTAATATAAATGCAAACCCACGAAAGAGAACAGATGAAACTAAAATCGTTCTGAAAACTATAAGTTATTGGTCTGTTCCAGAACTGCAATAATGAAGGCAATTTTAATTATGATATCGAAAAAATTGTAAAATGAGTAGATTCTTGCAGGTTCTGGAACAAAAGCAATTTAAAAACGCTGTAAGTTCGGCCGGCCCTATCTTTGAATGCCCTCCACTATTTGAAACAAATTTGGCAATTTTCAAAACAAAAGAGAAAAAATAATAAAAAAATAAATAAAACCCTTTAAACATTCTGTTAAAATCTTAAAAATACCGAATGTAGTCGTTAAATTAGGGTCTATAAGACTACGTGGACCTGCATAGGCAACTTTTGTCATAAGCCGTTGCAATATTTAAATGCGAAACATGAAAAAAAAATCAGTGAATAATGTAGCTAAAATTATCAAAATACCGAATATAGAGGGGTACCGTTGTATTGGGGCTATACGGAGACGTTTACCTGCACAGACAATTTTCTGTCACAGGCTGTTATATCCAGTACGAACTTCAAATACCAAACTTGAAACAATTCCGGTAAATAATGTTGCTAAAATCATCAAAATACCGAATATCGGGATGTACCGTTGTATGGGGGCTATTCATAGACCTGGACTTGCACAGACATTACGAACTTTAAACACCAAATTTAAACCAATTCCGGTGAATAATATCACTAAAATCAGCAAAATACCGAATGTCGGAGTGTACCGTTATATGGGGTCTATTCGAAGACGAGGAGCTGCATGGACAATCTTCTGTTTTAGGCTGTACCATCCATTACGAACTTCAAATACCAAATTTGAAACATTTCCGGTGAATAACGTCGATTAAATCACCAAAATACCGGAAAAGGGAGGTACCGTTATATGCTATACCAAAACGTGGACCTACATAACCCATTTTCAATACCAAAAGTCATAATACATATTTGAGTAAAATTTTATCAAACTACTAAACATCCATACTATGATGGAGGGTATAATAAATGCTAGCGCTAATTTGCATCATAAAAGTACCTGCTTGTGCATCGCAAATTGTTCCTTATGATATACAATTTATATTATTAAGAAACTCTCGGGGTGAATATCCCCAACAAAATCAAGGAAACTGATGAGAATTGGTGGCTCTTTCCGAAACTTCCTGGTAAATATTACCTCTCCACTAATAAATAAACGTTGTTTTTATAAAAACATCAATAATAGGATTAAGCCTAACTACTTTGCAACAACAACATATTACGGTATCCCGAACAAAAATGCCAACACTGTTCTAAAATCGTTTTTATTTATTGAGAAGAAAATGCAAATCGAAAACAAGTTAAAATGAACGGAGATTTGTCAGGCCAATTTTAAATACCCTCCACCATAAGCTATATAAATCATTTTAATATATAAGTATACGGCTTCAAACGTATTCCACTTTAAACTAAAAATACCAGTAAGATCCGTTGGAGAAAGCGATAAAGTTTCCAAAAACAAAAAAAAAAAAACATATTAGGGATATACCAAAACGGGAACCTATATATACAAATTTATACTATAAAGATTTTTTTCTATTGCGAGTATAAATGCCGGCGCTACTATAGTATTCTACTTTTAAATGCAAATCACAACCTATGTATGAACAAAATCTACACTTTTTGTAGGAAATAAATCTTTAGAGAAATATAAAACATGATTTTCAAAAGAAATTTTATTTAATTTATTAAAAGACAAGTAAAAAAACATTACGTTCGGCCAGGCCAAACTTTTAATACCCTCCACCTTAGGGTAAAGGAATCATTAGAGCCCATTATGACCCACATATACCAATTTTTAGGCATATTCATGGGAAAATGTGCCAAAAATCATCAAAATACCGAATATCGGGAGGTACCGTTATATGGGGACTATACCAAAACGTGGATCTATACATACAATGTTTCACCACACGAACTAGGACCCATTATGACCAACAAATACCAATTTTTAGACAAATCAGTAAAAAATGTGGCAAAAACCATCAAAATACCGAATATCGGGAGATTCCGTTATATGGGGGCTATACCAAATCGTGGACCCATACATGCAATGTTTCGCCACCGGAGCTGGAACCCATTATGACCAACAAATACCAATTTTTAGACAAATCCGTGAAAAATGTGGCAAAAATAATCAAAATGCCGAATATCGGGCGGTACCTTTATATGGGGGCTATACCAAAGCGTGGACCTATACATGAAATGTTTCGCCACACGAACTGGGATCCGTTATGACCTACAAACACCAATTTTCAGACAAACTCGTGAAAAAATGTGGCAAAAACCATCAAAATACCGAATATAGGGAGATACCGTTATATGGGGACTATACCAAAACGTGAACCGATATATCTCATTTTCAATACCAACTATCCTAGACACAATACAAATTGCTCCGCTAAATTTTGTCGCTCTACGTCAAATAATGTGGACTGTATCGTGATTTCAACAGACAGACAGACAGACGGACATCGTTAAATCGACATAGAATTTTATGTTATTTAAGGATGTTACAAACGGAATGACAAAGGTAATATACCCTCTTTTCCAAGGTGGAGGGTATAATAAAGCAACAAGCTGTTTTGTGTCAAATCAATAGTAACAGGTAAGACCATGGTAGAAGAATAAAGGTAGTCGCATCGACACAGCTGCTGGGACAATGAACTGTCAAACCGATTTTGGAATTGACAAGTAAAAAAGCAGTAATTTCGGCAGGGCCGAAAATAAAAATAAAATCCAATAAAAATTCTGTTAAAATCTCGGAAGGTGTCGATATATGGGTGTAGCATGCATGGGTTAAATAGATTACAATTTTCCTGTGGATATTTTCAGATGAATCATATGGCCTGGCACGCATAGTTCACCAGCCTTATTGCTCGTCGTTGGGTGTGGGATCTTGCCAAAATTCATCAATAATGCGTGCATAAATGATAGAAAGAAGTACAAGAAGGAAAGAGATATATGAAGAAGGATATCTATAGTCTAAAGCTCAATATAGAAAAGAGGAGTCTATTTCCTTCATAATTTGATAAGGCCATGCTTAGCTGCAGATGCATGGTTAGCCCTCCCATCCTATTTGCCATGACAATCAAAAAAAAAAAAAAAAATAAATAAATTGCTTAACATAAATGGCAAACCCATATTTGATTACCCTATGTCACTTTTCTGACCCCTGTTTTCAAATTAAACTTAGAAAATTCGTTTAGCACATGGTTAACAATACCAAAAATTTATTGAAAATAAAATTCATTATAACTACCAAAAAGAAACAATTCAAATATATATTGAAAATCCTAAATTTATAAAGATTTTAAAATTCAAAATTTTTGAAACTATCATATTTATCATTGAGATTAAATAGTTGACCAATTACTAATATTTTCCACAAAAAAACAGAAAAAAATAAAAATAGCTAAATAATTATATACCAAAACTATGCTAAATATATCTCTATAAAATGATAATATTGAAAAACACGAATTAAAATTTTTAAATTTTTTCAAAAAAAAAAAAAATAGAATTTCAAAATTCAGAAACAAAATTCGGGCTTGAACGTTAGATGTTAAATTGCAAAAAAAAGAATCGTTAATCAGTTCTGTATATGTTTGTGTGTTTCTGTTTCCTTATTCATGTGAACAGCTGTTAAGTACATTGACCTTTTACAGTCATCATCAACACAAGCACAAAAGATTGCAATCGGAGATTTTTTTTATACTTTCATTTTAAGTTAAATAATTTAAAGATCATTCCCCAAAAATAAATTCATATGTAAAGCAAATGGGTACAAGGTTGGATTTGTTATTGAAAGCAGAAAAAAATTAATTTAAAATAAGATAGAAAATCATTAGCAAAAACTACATTAAAGCAGTGCTTTTCAAACTATGTTCTCTCAATAAATAGTTAACAGCACAAATTGTTCGCAACAGCGTGCTGTCTGTTAAACGAATACTTAACATTAACACATCCAACACTTGTACATTTTTTGTATAGCGAGTAAAATTCAAACAACCATCAACATCCGTATCCTTTAAAAATATTTAAATTGCAAAACAAGTAATTTTAAAGCCATTTAAAAATGTATAGGATCATTTTAAAATATCAACAAAATATTTACAAATTTAAAAATATCAATGCAAATATTTTGTGGAACGTGAGAGCAATAACGGTTCATCCGCTTACTCTCTGTACAATAGATCGATTGGTTGGTTGATGGTGGTTTGATGGAAGTTAAAGAGAGTTAACTTACTTTGAATATTTCGGAGCTCCCACGTTGAAAGGCCTTCCAGAATGGGTTGGTTGATGTTGATAACAGCAAACTCCAGCAAATTAACCAATTTAACAGTTTTTTGTTTTGGTCTGTTCTCTCTTATTAAACAAAACACAAATATATGGGTATTAAAAATAATTTTGATAGGATAAACTACCAATATAGCGTAATATTTAAACTTTTGGTTTTTTTTCTTCACTTGGAATACCCGCACTCAAATATTAATAATTACAAGATTTCCAACAAAATTACCGATCGCTTTAAAGCATTCGAAACCACTAAACACTGAATGTTGTTGAAGAAGTTTGGCAGCTTGTGGACGGCATCGGTGTATCAAGGCAGGGAAATGAGGGGGAATCCTTAAACCAAAGAGGAATGACAAAATTAGAACTATGGCAAAAGAGAGACATGTCCTATAGAGGATCTTACCAAGTGAAAACAACGACATAGAACATATATGGTATTGCTGCCAAGTAAAAAAACAGGAACTCCAAAGAATCAAATAAAAAAGTGTATCTGGACCACCAGTTAAGTCTCAGTATTGCAAGTTTTTTTTTTTTTTTTTAGAGTTCCTTGCTCCGGCAAGAATTTATTCCAAGAAATCGTGGAAACAGGCAGAAGAAAATTATTTCACCAACATTTACAACCACGTTTGAAAACTGGTTGACTGTTTTTCAGACAATTAGAAAAACTTCAACGTTTTTGATAAAAATTGTTGGTTATGACTTGCAAAAATGAAAAAAAAAAAATTAATTTTTCTTTTCAAACTTTCAAATAACTTTGCAGGTGAACAGCTTCAAGGTTAGAATAAAATGTACAAAATGTCTCCTCAGTTACCCCCTTTTGTATCCTCGGCTAAAAGCAATCAAAAACGGCTGAATAACCAATACTATCTTAAATTTCCAAAAACCATTATGGCGACTTTTCTAGCACAAAGACATGGTAAAAGCACTCAGTTGATGTATTGTGCATGTACAAACGTATGAAATAAGAACATACTAAAAAAAAAGGTTAAAGAAAGTTTCACCACTATCATCAAAAAAAAATTTATAGCATTTCCCCTTATGGCACATTATAGCATTCAGAAGTGAAGGTGAACTTCAATCTGCTATAATTTGTGGAAATTAAATTTTATGTTTCAAAATGAATTTAATTACCATTAAGAAAATAAAAAAATTAAAAAGACAAAACAAAAAAAAAAAATAAGGACGGAGCTGGGATTTGAACCTGGTTCTCTCGGTCCATAGGCAGAAGCTCTTCCACTGAGCTATCACACATCTCGAAGCCGGTTCAGCTAAGTAAGACCAACATTCGATCGCGAACAGCATTATAGATTTAATGAAATGCATTAAGGCAAAAATGGCATTACATCAATGTAATGAACCAATATAAACGTAACAAAGCAAACAAACAAAACAAAAAAACAATAGACTAGAATCTCACAACAACGAGATCAAACGGTTGAAGAGGCGATCATGTGGATCGAAAAGTAAGATCTAGTAATTATGTGTAGTGATATGTAACTAAATGTTAATTAACATTGCGTTAAACTACATTGCTTTACCAGAGCTGTCCAATCCCTTGTTGTGAGGGTGCCAAAGAAAAGATTAATATTTTCAACTAAAAATCTATATGCGCCACTACATGGGGGATAAACGATATTGTCGACCTATATAGACAAATCTATGTCTATGTCTTTAAGACAATTCCGTTTAAAAATGTGGCTAAAATCATCAAAATACCGAATATCGGGGGGTACTGTTATATGTGGACTATATGATATCGTGGACCTATATAGATAATTCTCTTTCAATGAATAACGTGCTCACAAGGAACTCGTTGTGCGGATTTTCAGTCCATTCCATTAGAAAATGTGGCTAAAATCATCAAAATCGCGAATATCGGAGGATACCGTTATATGGGGTTTCCCTTTGAGGGGGTTAAGTGCTCACAAGTAACCCCTTGTGTAGAATATAGCCCATCTTTGAACTTGACCTGCCTGCAGACAAAAGAGAGATCTGGTCAAAATGTTAGCTTTCTATCTTAATTCGTTTAGCCTGTAGCCTGATTACAACAGACGGAAGGACAGACCGATGGACAGACGGACGGACAGGGCTAAATATTCTTAGAATTTTACGCTGATCAAGAATATATATACTTTGTTGGATCTAAAATGATTATTTAGATGAGTTACAAACGGAATGACGAACTTAATATACCCTCCATTCTATGTATGGTGGAGGGTATATAAATGGTGAATGAAATTTATAAAAATCGTTGAAAAGTTCATATTATAACAACCACCGATTTACGTCGTATAAGAAAACATTTAAAAATATACTTATTTTTGATAAAACATTTTTATATTTTTGACATATCAATGTTCCCAAGCATTGATGCATCTTCCTATATTCTTCTACCATGGGTAAGACTTTTACTTACAAACTTACAAAGGTGTAGGGTATAAAAACGAAGTAAAATTTTAAGACAAAAACTAATTTTGTGTGGCATTCATAATTATGAAATAATGCATATAGCAATGCTGTGGGAACGCCACATAATTCGTTTACTGGAAACAAAAACAAAACGCGTACGCAAAGCATTTGAGGGGCGACATCTGTCAGACAGTGAAAACAATTGTGTTTTATTCATTGCTTTTTGCTTTCTCTTTTGCTACTACAACTCGATAAATTAATTTGTAAAACTTGTACTTATATATCCCTATTATGTGGGTTAAGGGAGGAAATAAAAAGGGTGTCATTTCAGTTAATGAAAATCTGTTCGTTAATATTTTACTCTTTAAAACAAAAATGTTGAAATGATTAAGCAGAAACCACAATTATTATTCGAAATAAATTCTTTTTAAAAAAGCTGAATTAAAAACAAAGATACATAAAGTGCAGATTTGAGTATGTCGGTTGTAAAAATTTTGTGAAAACTCCCAAGAATTGTGAAACCATAACTTAAATGTAGACGGCAAAAATTGAACAATTTGGAAAATAAATCGTGTATGATAACTGAAAAGAAACGGAAGAAATTGTGAAGTTTTTTAACAAGTGAATATTGTCAAGATGTAATCGTGCTCTTCAATCATTTATTTGTCATGTAAAAGATTGTATAACTAAAGGTCCTTTTTAAAGTACACACGTACATCAAAAAAATATACATACGTAAGTTTTGGCACGTGAAATGTAAAACGCAAAATCCTCAAAAATTTATGATTACACTTAAAAAAAAATTAACAGCTCCATGAATGGATTTAAAAACGAAAAATTTGTAAAAAAAAATTGACAAAACCTACATCTTTTAGCCTCACATTTCACGTTAAAATTAGACACGGGTAGAACTACAGAACTGCCAGGACCACACGCACCGATACACACACAACCCACACCCTCGCTCTCCTTTGAGGAGGACATAAATACTTTCTCACAGCAAAGACATTTGAAATTCTAACGTTAGTTGGTGAGAATGAACAGGAGAAAAATGGTATTCTACATGCTAGCGAGTACATGCTTCGAGTACATTTTCGCTATTTAACTATGAATGAAAAGAAACGAGAAAAATAAAACAAACTGTATTTTCGAACATTTACCACAAATGAAACAAGGAATGAGTAACTTAGAATAAGTAAACAAAAATATGTGATCCTACAAACTAATCACAAAGTGCACTGAAAATGCATCCAAGTTTCTTTGTTTAAAACGACTTTTTGATTGGCAAAAGCGTGCTGTTTTATGTAGCACATATTAAAAAGGTAAATCAAATACAATATCAATTATTGGCTCACTCCGCCTATAATAAATGACAAAATTTCCTACAACTACTACATCAATACATCAATGCTATTAGATTATCTGTGACCTAGTTGCTGGATGTTTAATACGAATTCTGAAGACTACTGGGGAAAAAAATCATATCAAATGGCAGACCCTTTTTGCGGGGGGTTCTGTTGAGGCATGTCGTAATGGCAAGAGAGGTGAGTATTCTAAAATAATATATACAGTTTAAACGATGTGTATTGTGATTCTTTTTAATTTTTATGATTTATGGAAAGTATTTTTAGGAACAACTCAACTCTCCGAATTTTTTTCCAGAGGTATTTGTACCCTGATTCCGGGAAAGTTTTCTAAGAACTGGACCCAGATACACAGATTTTTGATCCAAAAGTTCGGGTCTATGTGGATCTACTAAACCGATTTTTAAATAACCCCATCATTTGACCACATGTTACATAGGTATTAGGCTAGTGGATCCGGTAGTTTTTACTTAACTTGAGTTTAGCCTAGTTTTATTAACAATTTTAGACAATGTTCATATTTAAAAAAAATAAAACAAAATATGATATATTAACAGAATCTAACTATTTGAAGAAAGTAAAAACTAGTGTTGTTCGAGGTTGAGACCCGTGTTATTGTATTTATTTAATATCCAATATTTCGAATTCTATGAATTTCATCTTCAGGGAAATGCTCCCAAAATATCTTTATCGCACTATATAAATATCACCATATCACAGTGATTACTAATATTAATTATTTGAAGCAATATTAATTATTTGAAGCATAAAATATTTGAAGCAATTCTTTTTTTGTTTCGCTCACCTCTGATAACTTTCTGTTTTTCGTTCGTTATCTTTTTGAAAAATTTGCAGTGGTTGAGAGTAAATTCCCTCACTAGACTTTAAAATTTACTTAGTAACTTTTACAGGTTTGTCAGATTTGGCAATTTCTCGCCAAACGTGGCTATTTTTTAATGCGTTTGACTACTTAATTTTCGATTTGAAGAAATTGCGATGTTTGGCGGATAATAGAACAGTTGGCGATTTCGATTTGATTCAAATCATAATATACTAAAATTTTGAAGAAATCTTAGACGAACTGAGCATTGCCATTGATCATGATGATTATGGGAAAATATGAATTTTAAAATGTTGCAGTCAATTATCACAAACATAATTTAGGTTTCCGAGAAGACATAAAAAATGAACTTTCTATTAGATGTGTTTGAAATCCTGTCAAGGAAATTAAAATTTATAAATTTTAATAAATATTTGAACGGTGAAATATCATAAAATTGACTTAGTTTTTGTTCGAATTATGATTACCCTGATGAGGCAAGTACATACCACTTTAAAGAAATATCACTAATTGTTCTTAATATGTTAGTTATTACAACTAGTAATGCCTGTATTAACAGGAGGTTCTCATTATGAATTATGCCAAAACAAAGTTGAATGAGACGATCTACCTATCCTTGATATTTTGGACGCTCTTTCGCGAGTAAAAAGTTTTTGATTCAAAAAAAAAAAAAAAAGTTTTGTAATTCTTGTACACTAAAAGAAAAGATTTAACCCAAGTTTTATATATAAAACTGACAACAAAATAATGTAGTAATTTCCGGTGCACAGTATTAAAAACTGTAAATAAATAAAAACTAATGGACTGTTCCAGAACTGCAAGAATGTCAACGTGTTTACTACGATAACCGATATTCCATTTATAATATAAAAAAAAAAAATAATAATAATAATAATAATGTAAGCATAGTAGATTCTAGAAGGTTCTGGAAAAGATTATAGGATTCAAAAAATTCTTTACAGCGTTAACTAAAATTCAACGTAGGGTAAGTGTTCCAGTGGTCGGCACTTTTAGGATTTTCGCGTTTTTAATCGCTCAGCATTTATTCAGATTCGAAATTATGTATAGTTTTTGCAATAATAAATAAAGTTTTAATAACTTTTTATTAAATTTCGTAAATTTGTAGTTTTATTAAAACAATGCAATGGTATGGCATTTTCCAACAGTCAGCATACCAATTTTTTTGTAAGAATAACTAATAATAATAATAAATTAATTCATTAAAATATAATATTTTTGTTTAGTTAAACTGATTCGACGTCTTTATTGTATTTTTCTTAAGAATATGAATTGTTGAGGACCTACACAGATAAAAATTAAATTTTTCTTAGAATAATTCATCTTTTCTTAGCAAAATTGTGCACAAAGATAGCGGACAATATATTTGAAGTAAACAAAATACATTTAGTTATAATAGTTTCATTTATTTGGGCTTAAAAATAAAAAGTGCCAACTACTGGGACATGCCGAACTTAGGCACACTTACCCTATATGGTCGACGTTTTTCACCACACATATACGTCGGGCGTACAAAATTTTAAAGTTGAACATTTTCAACATGTACAATTGAAAAATTTCTTTTTTTTGTGTTGGAAATATGAATGAATAATACAAAAAATGTGGCTGTTTGTAATCGAAAATATTACAATAGGGTGAATTTAAAAAAAATATCAATTTTTGCAATGGTTTCATTTTGTAGATTCTAAGATATGGACCTGGCGTATTTGGGTAATACGGACGTCCAAAAAAATTTACAATAGTGAGGAAGTTAAATATCTGTGTACACTACGTCCAATTTTATGTAACACTGTTAAATGAACCTTACAGATTTCTAAGGAATAAAATTCAGCTTTTTTACAAATTAATAAAACATATTAAAAAAGCTTAATGCAGTATACATTTTATTTAAACTGAAGAATTTTCGTTTTGGCGAATTTGGCGATGGTGGTATAAATATTTGACAACACTGACTAAAGTAAATGAGAGTGAGTAAAGAGAGCAATTTAGACAGTAGAGTTACTGAGAATAACAAAATTTTACAGGAAAAATTTAATTAGCAAAAACTATTCACCAACATCAGCTGATTGAAAAAGGAAAACAACATTTTTAACCGAGGCAAAAATGTTTACAAATTTCAGGCAATAGTTAACTTAAAATTGTAATTATTTAATTCAGATAAAAAGCAACTTGATAGATTTTCCCGAATGTTGTTCGATAAGTTTTGTAACTACTGAGTAATTTTTACTAGGAAAGTTATCGTAGATACTTAATTACAAAAGCTTTATGGGTTGGATTCTTGTTCTATCAACAGTTGAAAAGAAAAATATTTTCTTTATAAAATTTTTCATTTGACATATTTCTCCTTTATAAAAGTTTCCATTTCACCTTTTGCAAAGAACCGGAATTGAGTGGGATGCCAAATTTTCATATTTTGCATCCCTATTTTGACGATGTTAATAAATATAAGGGTACATCTGGAAATGAATTTAAATATATTTTCGAAACGTTTTGTATAAAATCATTTTGTAAATTATTTTCAGCGTTTCGGTAGAATGGAAATGTTGGTATTATTTTTTCATACAAAAGTAGTGATCCATTCTACCGCTGTCGTAAACTCTAACTTGATGCGAGGTTTCGTGGCCTTTGGTTTCTATTTGTGTCCTTTATAACGGCTACAAAATTGGTCAATTTCAAACCCTAAATATATTGCGGGCATCTTAAAAAACAATAGGCCTAGCCCTTCTGAACATAACCCTAACCTTATGAAAATTTTCGTGAGGTCGGACGATAATTGCAATCTGTATATAATAACCCCAACCTGTGTTGTAAGGGGGAAAAATATTACAAAATGTACACTTCAATATTATAAGTCAAATTGGAGAAATCGATAAAAAAAATTATGAAAAAATAAATAAAAAAATATCACAAAATAACATAATTATTGGCATATTTTAATGGGTTTTTTTAGAGTTTATTCTTTTATGCCGAGAGGGTATTCTGAATTGACGAAATTTGTCAAAATTGGTCCAGTCATTCTGGAAATATAATCATTCTAGCTAACATCCCTATCCTTTGTATATTTATATTGTATATATTTCGCTATATATATATCCGATATATTTACTATCGGCATCTACGTAGCGGTCAGAATTGACCTTTTCGTCTCTTTGTGATTTCGCCGGGATTAAAAATATTTGCGGTTTATTGGAAAATTTGACTTTTATTTAACACAAATGTTATGGTCTATTCACCCACTAAATATTACCCTATAATCATCGAATTGTAAGCTTTAGCCCAATGCTAACTTTCGCGTCGATTGGTCTATAATTGCGACCTGTAGAAATATTACAAAATTTACAGTTCAATATTATAAGTCAAATTGAAAAATCGATAAAAATATGAACAAGTAAAAAAGCAGTAAGTTCAGCCGGGCCTAATTTTAAATATCATCCACCATTTGGAACGAATTAGAAAATTTTCAAAAAAATAAAATCCATTGAAAATTCTGTAAAAATCTTTAAAATACCTAATATCGCAAGGTGCCGGTATATGGGGGGATATACGATATTGTGCGATAATTTTTGGCCACTTTTTCGAGCACTGCTGGTCGTGTGTCACGAATAACACGAACAATGCTGGTCTCCAAGGCGTCAATTGTTGCTGGTTCATCAGCATAAACCAGTGACTTCACGTAGCCCCACAGGAAATAATCGAGAGGTGTCAAATCGCACGACCTTGGAGGCCAATTTACAGGTCCACTTCTCGAAATCAACTTATCGCCAAATTTTGATTTCAATAAGTCGATGGTTGCGTTCTTTGCGGTCTTTTGTGAATTGGTCTCATTCCATATGCGACAATTTTGCTTATTAACAAACCCATTAGCCAAAAATGCGCCTCATCGCTGAACACAATTTTGCGATAAAACAACGGGTCATTTGCCAACTGCTCTGGAGCCTGATTTTCAAAATAAATTTGGATAATTTCGCTGCGTTGTTCAAACGTGAGTCTATTCATGATGATTTGTCAGAGTACACTGAAACAAATAAAAAAAGATTCATCAAAATTTAATTTTTTGTGCTACTTTTTACAATTTAAAGTTCTATCTAGCTTAAAAGAACACCCTTTTCAAACCTTCACATTTTTGTATTATTTAGTTTTGTTTTAAATCGAATAAAGTTCAACAACACTTACATAAACAAATTATTATAAGAAATGCTTGTTATGTCAAAACAAAAAAAAAAAAAATATATCGATAAATTATTTTAATTTTAAATATTTATATTTTTTGGAATTGCATTATAAAGTGTAAATGTAGAATGCAAATTCCAAATATATTTTA